TCCGCCGCGGAACCGCGAGAGAGGAGCCGGCCGAGCCTCCGCCGAGAAGCCACCCCTGAGCAGCTGCACACACCGCGACCCCGGCGCCGTCCGCCCCGTCCGCCGTCCGCTCCGGCCGCTCGCTGGCTGCGTGCGCGCGTGTGGAGTCGTGGCACTTTCTGCCTCGGAGCTGGCGAACGGCCCCCTCCGCCGGGATCGCCGCCTCCTGCCTTCCCCACCCGGACCAGCCATTCATCGAGCCGCCTCTTCTCATTGGTCCACTAGCCGCCACTCTACCGGCAGCTGTCCAATCGAGTCGCTGACTGCCGCTCAACGGCGGCGGCCATTGGGTAAAAGGGAGGGTCTACGTCTCAGCCAATGGGAGAGGGGAGGAGCTGCGGGGAGCCGCGGGGGGCGGGGCCGAGGAGGGGCGGAGCCGCGCAGCGCAGCTCTCTGCTCTGCGCGGGGGCGGGTCTCTAACGCCCCGCCCATCTAGGGAGGTCGCCTGCCGACCCCGCCCACTCTGGTCCGCCGCTCTCCACGCCACCGCTTTTTCCGAGTCAGCTCCGCCTAGGCAGATGGATTGTGGTTCGAATCCCTGTGGCCGCGGGCTGCTCTTCCCCACACTGCCAGGCTGAGGTGGCGATGGGTGTAACCCAGAGGAGGATTACACAACCCGTGAACAACAGGGAAAATGTTTTATTTAAACCCAAGTAACTTCACACAAAGCACCAGCCCCTGGGTCTAAAGACAAGTTATACAGGGGTGAGAGCAGGGAGGATAGGGCTTTATCCGCAAACATTCTTCTCCAGATGGGATTTTCTTGAATGAATGAAAGAACTGAGGTGGAAGATCCAGAAAGAACAAAGGAAATTGAGATGGCCTGTGTGTCATTGTGTTAGGGAAGGCCACTCCCTAGACTGTATGAGATACTGTCCTTGTACAAATCACACAGCAGAGTTACATCCATCCTGTGACATTTGATTCCAAGTGAAGGGGACCATGAGGTTCTGTCTCAAGAAAATCTGCTGGCAATCCAGGAAACTGATCCAATGATATTCCAAATATTAGCTCCAACACACTCACTCTTAAAAAATAATAAAAAAAAATACAAAACCAAAACCTATTCAGAGGAGGGATGCATGCACCACCATGTTGGTTCTCCCCGTCTGCGGTGGATTCCAGGGAACAAACTCAGGTTGTCAGACTTGCATGGCCAACACTCTTATCCTGAGCCGTCTCACCAGCCCAATACACGCTCTTCAAAACCAACTTGAATTGAAATAATTTTGCATTGCGGTGCTTTTTTATTTTGTCAGAGTCTTATTATATGACTGTCTGCTTGTTATGTATAATAGGCTGGCATTGAACTCGCAGAGATCTGCCTGATTTTGCCTCTTGAGTGTTGGGTTTAAAGGTATGAACCCCCATACCAGCTTAAGTTTCAGTTGTAGCCATTTTAACAGTATTTCTTAAAATTATGCCTCTGAGCCTGCGCCAAAGGCAGCCTCTTTGAAATGAAGTTCTCTCTGTGTGCATGTCTCTCTCTGTCTCGTGTGTGTGTGTGTGTGTGTGTGTGTGTGTGTGTGTGTGTGTGAAGGGGGGCGGTGGGAGCCAGAGTCTGATACCAGGCATCTTCATCTATTGCCCTGACCTCATTCTTGGAGACAGGTTCTGTGTCTGACCCTGAGCTCGCTGCTCTGGCTAGACTGGCCCATGAGGAAGTCCTGGATCTGCTTGTCTCCACATGGTACTGGGATTACAGGTGGCGCCTGGATTGCTTTCATTCGCACTGGGAACTGAACTCAAGGCCCTCAGGCCTTCACAGTAAGCATTCGCCCACGGAGTCTCTCCAGCCTCTAAAATGTTTTCTAATGTGTTTGTTTGTCTTGTTTCTCTAGACAGGGTTTCTCTGGGTAACAACTGTGGCTGTCCTAGAACTCACTTGTAGATCAGGCTGGCCTTGTATGCAGAGATCCGCCTGCCTCTGCCTCCCGCGTGATGGGATTAAAGGCGTGCACCACCACCGCCTGGTCCTAAAATGCAGTTTTCTACGAGACCCAAAGGACAATGACTGCCCCAGCCTCTGTGGCCTCAGTTTCTCCACAAGCACTGTGGTTGGTCATTGCTCCTGTACAAGCTGTTGGTAGAAAGTAAAGCTTTAGGGAGAGAAGACACAGGGGTTAGATTGAAACTAAACCATTCATTTTTAGTTTTAATCTCAGCAGTTCCTTCACAAATTAATGATTAATTGGCAGGAATTAACATGGATTACCTTTCCACACTCAGGCATTTTCCAGCACTGAGACTCACTTGATATGAAATTCAAGGATTCCCGTTTCTGGCCAGCTGTTGGCCTAGGCATTTACCCCTCGGAGAATAAATGGACTTTAAGACAGTCACTCTTGTGAGGGTAAGTACGCACATTCATTCATGCATCCATTCACTAGTGTTTGTTAGTGCCTGGGGAAACTAAAGGCTGAACACACCACCCAAAGCGATACACAGATCCTCCATGGGCCCAAAGACTTGTCCATAGCAGGGTTGCCCTTTATCCTCCTCACTGTTTGTCATTAAACTGTCCCAGAAGCAGATCCCGGCAGGAGGAATTGGTTCAAACCTAGTAGTCCTTCAACATCTGGCAGAGATTAGTTCCAGGACCCCCTTTACCAGGTTGCAGCGTCTGGGGATGGGCGAGCCTTATAGAAAACGATTTGCATACAGCCTCTGCACATCTTCCCAAATGCTTTAAATCCTCTCTGCATGACGGACACTGACTGTCACGCAAGGCTGTGTAAATAGTTGTGATACCGTATTGTTTCGAGAGTCGTGACAAGGGAGAAAAATCTGCACGTGCTCAATACAGACAAGTGCTTTCCACGTGTTTCTGATCGGTTGGTTAAATCTGTGGATATAGAGCTGGGGGTTGAGGGCCGATGGAAATTCATTTGGGAGATGAGCTGGGAAACACTGGTGGAGAACTGGGGAGGGAAAGAACCAATAGAAAACACACGGTATCAAGCAAGCAGCTGCTGTGGGGTGGGAGCAGTCAAGGCTTGTGTCACAGGGGATGTAGGTAAGCCCTGTAGAAGACGCCTCCAGAGATCCTCCCCAAGAGGAATGAAGACATGGCTACCCATTAAGCATTCTGAGTACTTGTTGGCTAGAAGGTTCCTCAGCAGGGGGAGAGTTTAACTCCCCCCACACCTCTCTCAGTGGAGAAAGCATAGAAGCAAGAAGCCCTTAGCAGACTTGTGAGTGCCAGAGGGTGTGGCAGGGGCTGCTATTATACTTTCTACATGGGAGCCTGCACCTGACGCAGGGCCCGGCAGAGGAGGGGCTGGCAAATATAGGTTCTGTAAATATTATCCATTGGGCAATAGGATCACAGAGTCCCCAGGAGTAAGGAGTGTTTACCAAAAGGGCGCCCTATCTGTTCCTTTCCCTATTTCAATATTTGGTTCAATCTCTCACAATATTCATTTCAGGATGGAATAGTGTGGCATGGTGTAAGCTCTGCCTTCCTTCTGCCCCTGCCCCTTCCTCCTCTGTCACTCTCTAGCTGTGCTATGCAGGCTCCCATCTGTGGCTCCGTTTTCCAGACCTCTTCTGCTCTTCCAAGGAGTAGCTGGAGAAACAGTCACCTTCAGAGTCCATGAGTACAAGATGCCTTTGAGGGAGTGAGAGGCGCTCTGAGGCTAAGGACTTCCAAGATGGGGCCTCAGTCAGCTAAATCACACATTTCCTGGCCTTATGAGGACGATCCTATGTCACTGTCCAGCCTCTGGATGCCATCTGCTCAGTGACAGACTCTAGGCTGAAGCCTAAGAAAGAGGTTCCTGCCACAATGTAGTATTCAGGTGTGGTTAGGGAATTTCAACACAGTTTCATCAGAGAGACCTGGAGTAGTCCAGGCAGGAGTTAACCCAGACACAAGAGAGGCGAACAGAAGTTTGAAGGAAGTGTGGAAGGTACCCAGGCCAAAAGGTTTGCATCTGGCAAAGAACAACATGGGCAAAGGCTAGGTGGTGAGAGACTGGGATCCCCAGGATGGAAATCTGGCAAGATTGACCAGGGAGAGAAAGGGAGGGAGAAACTGTTTCCAAAGCTAATCACAGGAGAACGGGAGTAATGTGCATGTTCCATATCTTGATAGAGCGATGGTTACATGGCTGGAGCAAAATTCATCAAATGGTACACTCTCCAAAAGGCTAAAACTTGGTCTGCAAGCAAATATACTTGAGTCAACCAGACTCCAAAAAAGGGACACCCTTAGGTTTTAGTTGCATCTTTAAAGCAAATGAAGCATTCTTATTAGGAAAAATTAAACACATAAGATTAATTACCAAGCACGGTCTATGAATTCATGACAATGCTTTGATTTTGATTACTAAATTGTGGGCATTATTTTAAAAGAGTAGGCAGAAAAATAAAGGTATAGTACAGTTTTAAAGGTGGTTTTGCTTTGTCAACTATAGAAGGATGCTAAATGAAATGAAATTTCACACACACACACACACACACACACACACAAGACACAGTACTGGAAAGATGGCTCAGAGGTTAAGAGCACTTGTTGCTCTTGCAGAGGACCTGAGTTAGGTTCCCAGCACCTACAGGTGGTTCGCAGCCATCTATAATTCTAATCTCAGGGGACCCAGAACCCTCTCGTGACCTCTGCAGGCAACAAGCTTACACATGGTGCACAGTTGCATACACACTGGGTAAAACACTCATACACAGAGAATAAAATAAATAAGTCTGGTGGGGTTTTTTATTCAAGAAAAGTCAGGGTAAAATATATTTTTATGGTTTATCATGAGCCAGGCATTGTTTTAAATAACCTGCAAATGTGTAAAACTACCTAACCTTCAGAGTAGCTCCCTAAGGGACGTTCTGTAGCTATCTCCATTTTAAAGATGAGGAACCTGAGGTTCTGAGAGGGTGAGCAACCTGCCCATTGTCGCCAAGGCTAGTCAGAGGAGGAGTGACTGGCTGCAGGGCCCACACATATAAAGACTGCATTTTGGAATGTGTCCTGTATCTCTGGGAAGAACAGAGGCGGTCAGAGTTAACCTGGTGGTGGGAACTCAACAAAGGATCTGTGACCATGACCTCTGTGATCATTCCCTCCGGGTGCTCTTAGAGCAACTGAGTCACAGGTTGGGGACCCACAGGGCTGGGAAGTGATGCCCCACACTAATTCGACTAAGAAGTAACAAGAAAACTTGAAAGGGGCAGGATGGGGAGGAAGGAGTGTGTTTAGAAAGTGATGCAAATGAGCTTGGGGAACCTAGGTCAGGGAGAGACAGGAGTCACCTATAAGCTGAGGTTCTAGCCTGAGTAATAGGGCTATAGTGGTGTCACTTCCGGGACAGGGTACATACCTGGAGAAGGGAATGAGGGGAATGCATTTTACACACACATCATGTTAAATTAAAGGCACTGGAGGAGGCCCTGAGGGAGATTCTGCAGGCACCACCATACTTAGTCTCCGGCACACATTCAGAGACATACAACATCTGGTGATGTTATCTCACAAACACCTTAAAATGTACCTCACAAACTTAGATGACTCCAGCATCATTAGGTCAACGGCTCCAGCATCATTAAGTCGATGGTTCCAGCATCATTAGGTCGACGGCTCCAGCATCATTAGGTCGACGGCTCCAGCATCATTAGGTCGACGGTTCCTGCATCATTAGGTCATACAATCTTACAGGACCACATTGTTTATGTACCAATGTCTGTCACTAAACTATTGTTTCTGTGGAACTGAAGTTCAAGGTCCATGGCAGAGTTTGGAAGCCTACACATGCAATGGACAGACAATGGCCATGAGAAGGACAGCAATGGCCAAGCACAGAGTACAGAGCTGTGGGTACTTGGGGGCAGGAGAACGCCAGTGTCGAAGTCCTGAACAAGGAGCAGAAACCCCACAAAAGAATGGATCAGTCAGCTCTTGCCACATAACAAAACATTCTGAGAGCCAAAGGCTTAAAACAACTCTGATTTTACATTATATAGTTTAGGCTTCTGTGAGTTAGCTAAGACTGAGGCTGAGGGTGGTCAGCTTGCTCACAGGTCTCTGGGTGGTCTGGACACACTCTCTCTAGCCTGAGCTTGACTAGAGTGAACTAGAGGCTCACTCAGAAGCTCTGGGCTCACTCTCTCTTCCAAGGATCAGGGAGGACAAGTAAACATTGCCATTGGGTTAGTGACGGGAGCAGAAGGAAACAAGCAGAAATGCACAAGGTCTCCTGGAGATGAGACTCAGAACTCTGTTGCCTCTGTCTCATTCTTTCGGTCAAATCATAACACATAAGTGAGCCTGGGTCTAAGGAGAAGGGAGGTATGGGCAGAGATGAATGTTTGGCACTACAGATATGATGTACAGCTGAGTCCGAGAAGGGGTAGGGTGCAGTCGGACTTTTCTTTGGGCCTCCAGCTCACAAATAATGACACAGACAAAATAATTAATGACAAATTATAATGTATTAATTATAAAAGCTCAGCCTTAGCTTAGGCTTGTTCGTAACTAGCTCTTTTAACTTAAATTAACCCATATTTTTTAATCTATGTTTTTCCAAGAGGCTCGTACTGCCCCTCGTGCTTCCACCAAGTCTGGCTGACAACTCTGTCTTTTCCTCTTCCCAGAGTCCTCTCTGTCCTCAGAAGTCTCGCCTAACCTCTTCCTGCCTGGCTCTAGTCATTCAGCTCTCTATTAAAACAATCAGAAGGCGCCTTGTCAAAGACACATCTTCACAGTGTAGACAAATATCCCACAGCAGTAGGGGGAACTGTAAGTCTAGAGAAAGTTGGCTTATGGAACTGGAGGCTTCAAGGGGTGGGGAGGAATGACCAATGTTCGATATAACCTGGAAACCCAACAGAAGAGAGACTGAGGTAGGCAGTAAATGTAGCAATTCAGCAGTCACAGGAGACTTGGGGAAACAGTTCTGATGAAGAGAGTGGCTGGCGAAATAAGCTCCAGATTGAAAAGGGCTGAGGAATAGACAGAGAAGCCATGAGCATCCCTTCATCCCACAGATGTATCCCATGAGTACCACTGCATATCCATCTCTCTCTGGGGTCTGGAGACACGGCCTTGAGTAGGGTAAAGGGTTCTCTTCCATGAGCATAGTCACAGTACAGGGGCCATAGAGAAAGCAAGCCATGAACAAGCAAGAGGGGTCCAAGTGGAACAATGAGCTACAAGGAACGATATTAGGCTCATGGGACAGAGGACGGTGAGGAGTTAGAAATGGGGGTGCTGTGGCTGTAAAGATGATCAGAGAAAGACTCTGGGGCAGGGTGAAGGGTTTGGTGGAGGCAATATAAGACACGGATCTTGTCTCAGAATGAAGAAGAGGAAGTACAAAAATCCTGGGGCGAAAGGAAGCCCAACCAGTGGTTCAGGGAACAGAAGGAAGGCTGGCCACTTGACGAGGCCTTAGGGAAGAAGGAAAAGCAAAGAAGATAGGTATGGATAACGGCTCCAGGGGAACCTTACACAGTGGCCAGCAATCTCATCTGCGTTATAAACGGTCACACTATAAGCACTGTAATAAGCAGAATGGATTGTACAGTGTAACGGGATAGGAAATGCACGAAGTTGGGGCAAGATTCCAGGCAAGGTGTTGTTGATGTTGTGCTGGTAAATATTTAACCACTGACTTTTATAAGGTGAGGCCTTCCTTGTTTGTAGCATTTGCCAATTCCTGTGATGTAAATACTTGCTTCAGATCCCATTGTGTTCAAGTCAAAGATAGGGAGAATTCTGTAGTCATATGCCACTATATAGCATCTCTACTGTGTAGGCATAAGCAAA